GGGGGGGGGGGGGGGGGGGGGGGGGGGGGGGGGGGGGGGGGGGGGGGAGGAGGAGAAGTACGCCAACAGCGGCATCCCAGTGGCGCCCCACGCTCGTGGCCACGAAACCTGCGCCGACAAGACGGCGACGGCGGCGGCGGCGGCGGCGATCCATCGTCTTCTTCCCACGAAACTGACGCTGCCCGCGCCGCCACATCATCCGGCGCCGACAGCACCATCTCAAGTTCTAGCGCCACCGGCGGTGGCGGTGGCGGTGGCGGCGGCGGCGGCGGCGGCGGCGGCGGCAGCAGCACCGAGCTCGGCGGGGATTCCCGGGGCGGGAAGGTGTACTACGCGCCCACAGGCGGGGTGAACTGCACCGCCTCGTCCACAGAAACCAATGCTACGGCCGGCGGCAGCGGCAGCAGCACAGGCCGGAAGAGCGGTGATGGGGAGAAGGGGGACCATGGAGCGTACAAGCCCATGTGTGGTGTTGACGTAGTCGTTAGCCCGGGAGGAGACGACAAGTACAGGTGTGAGGGGTTCCGCAGCAGTAGGGTGGGGGGGGGGGGCGTAGGTGACATTAGCTATCACTCCCCCTAGACCGATTTTCGAAGCTTCAGTGGTGCCGAAAATGGCGGCGTTTGACAATTTTCGTCGAGGTCTTTCCGAAAGCCTAAAATCGTTTAGTGTGTCCATTCTCTTCGTCGTGGAGTAATCGAGCTTTAGCATTTGGTCCGGGGGGTGTGATATGTTATGTCACCTACGGCATGGTTTGGCTCGAGCGTGGTAAGTGGCTCATTGAGTGGTGGACGAGAGAGCTCTCCTGTGGGATTGTTAAGGCGGAGAACAGCACCTAACCGCACGGCGAAAGCGGCCGCATGGTTCATGATCACTCTTGTTTTCGAAAATATAATTTTGGGCCAAATGGCTTCGTGAACGGGAGTTTACCGACAGCGAAGCGAACGAGCAATCGCCCCATCAAGGGGTCCCATAGCTTGCTGAGAAGGGGTTTACTGAAACAGTGGTAACCCAAGTTTAACTGCTTGACACGGCCGAGTACCACACCAACGAGTTAGGGGGAAGAGACTGACTCCTGGACGAACCCGTCATCGCGGTAAGAACTTGAAGGCAAGAACCGCAGGAGGAAAGGAAAATTGTAGAAAAATACCACAAGGATTTTCCTCATTTGTACACTGGAACTCAGTGTCACCCCCGAACTGTGTACCCTGCAGAGCAGAATGCATGGGTCGAACATACAGGTTCACGCACACGCGCTGTACAACCCTCTAGTCAAGACTGAGTGATGTATTTTAATCGGGTCAGCCGGCTCATCGCGGTCAATGCTAGATCAAGAAACGCACTTGGCAAAGAACACCGACAAACACCCTTGTAAGTTATTCAGTCATTTGCACGATCAATCGATCAAATCCACGCCGCCAGGTTTTACTGGGAGTGGCTGCCCGCGTTTTCCGGAGTACCCGGGCGAATCAACGAGCTCGGCGGCGGGGAGGGCACCTTCGTGGACAGCGTCTTCATCGGGGGCGAGTTCACTCCCCCGGTCCTTGTCTGGAGGAACGACCCGCACATCGGACCTTCCACGACGGGTGAGAGAGCAGCGCCAACCCCTGTTTCTTGGAAGGAGGTGTTTTTATTTGTCTGCGTTATTTTTCGCAGATCCACCAAGGACTGGTGAGAGGCAGCCCCTGTTTCTTGGAAAGGAGGCTTCTTTTTTTTTTGTCGTGTTTTTTCGCAGATCCACCGCTGGCTGGCGAGAGGGAGCCCTTTTTCTTGGAAATAGGCGTTTTTTTCATGATGAGGCGGGCGAATTGCTGTACTTGTGTCGTAGCTGATGGTGATTTGCTCATGTATCGTTGTAGGAAGTGAGTTGAATCTACTATTAGTAGATGCTAGCAGGGATACAACTGCAGGTACGTATGACGACCTCACCCGCGTTCGTTGCCCGGATCGCTCCCGCTCGATCCGCAGCCATCGGGGCGGAGGGAGAGCTGAAGGGCTCCGTCACTTCCATCACCCATATGCTGCTACCTCCGCCGGGCAAAACATCTGGGGGAACTTCGGAGTCTGGCGGAGCCGCTGCTGGGGTAGCAGCTCACGCTGACGACGAGGACAGCGGGACACTCACACCGGGCCAGGAGAACGTGAGAGGCCCCGCCACGGAGAGGAGTTCAGAGGGGGGGGGGGG